TGGAATAGCAGCATTACCACGCTTGACCAGTCGGCGCTCTAGCACCTTCTCAGGCATTGTCGTCGTGGCCTCAATATCAGTGGTGAATGGAAGCTCAGAAAAAACTAGTGTATAATCTGCAACAAAAGGTTTAAGTTGTGAAACATGAAACACATCATGGATCTTATTGTCTTCTAATAGCTTCAGGCGATATGCCACCCGCCCAATGCGTTCAGTAATGAGATAGGGCCCAAAATACTTGTATGACAGTTTAGGGAATGGTCGATTTGCCACGGAACTTGGTGTGTACGGTTGCAGCTTCAATAGAACTTGGTCACCCACTTGGAACTCAATGTTAGTATGATGTTTATCAGCCATCACTTTGATTCTGTTCTGTGCCTTGGCCAAATTCTCCTTGAGGGCCTACAAATGCAGTTCTCTACTAGTTCGGCTATAGTGACTGGTGTTGTTTGTTGTATAGTAGGAGCAGCACCAATCTTTGGATCATAGCCATATAGAGCCTTGAATGGAGAACACCCTAGAGAACTATGGTAAGTAGAATTATACCATAGTTGTGCCAAAGAGAGCCAAGAGTGCCAGGTTTTGGGTGAATCTTGGACAGCACACCGCAGGTACAGTTCAAGACATTGATTTACTCTCTTAGTCTATCCATCACTCTGTGGGTGGTAGGCAGTGCTAAGCTGTAGGTTCACTCTGTAAAGCTTGAAGAGTTCCTTCCAAAAGGCACTAACAAATATTTTGTCTCGATCAGAGACAATGGAGTTTGGGAGACCATGAAGCTTGACAATGTTATCCATGAAAAGCTGAGCTATGGTAGATGCTGTGTATGGATGTTTAACTACCACAAAATGAGCAAATTTGGTAAGTCTGTCCACTACTACCATGATCACACTGTAGCCATTGGATTTAGGCAGGCCTTCTATGAAATCCATAGATATGTCCATCCACACCCCCTCAGGAATTGGTAGAGGCTGTAGTAGTCCAGGTGGGGTGTGATCAGTATGCTTGGCTTGTTGGCAGACAGAGCACTGCTTAACAAAATCTTCCACAACCATCTTCATTCCTTTCCATGCAAAGTGAGTCTTGAGTCTCTGGTATGTTGCTTTAGTACCTGAGTGACCCCCAATAGCACTGGAATGGAAAGCTGCTATAGTCTTTGTCTGTAGGGTTGAGTTTTGGGCAATCCATAGTTTGTTCTTGTACCTAATGATACCATTGTCCAAGCTATAACTTGCCATATCAGGGCTTTGGATAGCCAGTTGGGTCAGCAGCTTCTAGGCCCTAGGATCAGTTGTATAAGAATAAAGTACTTCCTGCAACCAATCAGGTCTAACCATGGAAACATCTTATAAGGTGTGGAGGTGAGCCACCCTAGATAGCACATCTGCTGCTAGGTTGTCTTTTCCTTTCTTATAAACAATTTTGAACTGCAACCCCATCAATCTGGTCATTGCCTTCCTTTGCATATCAGAATGCAAGTTCTGTTCCTGGAGATAAGCTAAGGATTTGTGGTCTGTCAAAATAATAAATTCTTGTCTTTGTAGATAGTGTCTCCACCTTTCCACTGTCATAATCAATGCCAAGAACTCTTTCTCATAAATAGATAGATGTTTGTGTTTTTCACCCAAGGCTTTGCTAAGAAAAGCAATTGGTTGGCCTTTTTGCATCAAGACTGCCCCAATGCCATCTGCACAAGCATCTGTTTCCACAGTGAATGGCTCTTGGAAATTGGGTAGGGTGAGGACTGGGGTGTGGGACATAGCAATCTTGAGTTCATCAAATGTTGTCTGGGCTTTTGGATTCCACTGGAACTGTTTGTGCCTTAACAGATTGGTTAGTGGTTTTGCAATGATGAAATAACCCTTCACAAACTTCCTATAATATCCTGTTAACCCCAGAAAGGCTCTCAGCTCCGTAAATATTGTGGGTGTTGGCCAGTGAACCACAGCTGCTGTCTTCTGGGGATCAGTGGCCACCCCATTAGCTAATATAATGTGCCCCAAGTACTCCAACTGGCTTTGAGCAAAGGAATATTTGGACTGCTTCAAATAAAGTTGATTTGCCAACAATGTCTGGAGAACCAGTTGTAAATGTTCCTGGTGTTCTTCTAATGATTTGCTATATATGAGAATATCATCTAGGAACACTAGGATAAATTTCCTCAGAAAAGGTTGGAGGACTTGGTTCATGATGCATTGGAAAGTAGCTGGTGCATTTGTGAGCCCAAAGGGCATTACCTTGAACTGGTAGTGGCCCTGATGTGTTTTAAAGGTAGTCTTGTACTCATCTTCAGGTAACATTCTCACCTGGTGATACCCTGACCTCATGTCCAACTTGGTGAATATTTCTGCTCCAGACAACTCATCTAGAATTTCTTCGATAACAGGCATTGGAAATCTGTTCTTGACAGTCATGTCATTCAACTTTCTGTAGTCCACACAAAATCGCCAAGAGCCATCTTTTTTTTGACTAGGAGCACAGGGGAAGCAAAAGGGCTATGGCTGTGGGTGATTAATCCAGCCTGTAACAATTTCTAGACCTGATCTTCTATTTCAGTTTTGTGTTGAGGAGAATAGTGGTAGGGTCTGGCATTGACAGGTATAGCTCCAGGAATGAGTGGAATGGAGTGATCATAGCTCCTGGATGGTGGTAGTGTCTGGGGATCATGGAAAACTTGGCTATTTTGATCAAGAATGTGTTGTATAGCTGGAGGTGGTTTCGTTGGTGGAAGGTTGGGTGGAGAAGATTTAAGGTGGTAGGTTACCGAGTTATAGGGGTGGCGGCGCCGCTGCGAGACGGTCGTCGCCGGGTAACTAGCATCGGAGTTGGCCGTTGAAGCCCACTGCCCACGCCGAGGAAAAGGAGTCTCCGATACCAACTGTCATGCCTCGTTGCCGCCGGCCAGCGCCGTCGACATGAGGAGCTTCAGAGAGTACGAGAGACGAGGAACGGGAAGAGGAACCTTCCTCTTTCACCGGGTTCTATTTCAGAAAATGTGATGGTTCTCAATCCGATACAACGCACGCTTAAAACACCCCCTTAGCCTATGGCCCACATGTCATACTATATCTATTACATAATTGCTCGAATACGTCTTCTAACTTCCTTAGCGTACTTCTCTTGGTTTACGTCTCCTTCAGTTCGTAGGTGTACCAGGTCTGACACTATAGTGAACGTCGGCCCAATTACTTGCACCCACGGCTTCTTTAGGAAGTTAGCAAGCCATAGGACGAGACATCGCTGCGAGCCATCAATGGTATAGGACGGATGGATTTCCATATCTTGCACTCTCTGCCCGCCATGGCCGCAGGAGCTCAGCTCGGCCTGGTGTCGTTTCTTCCACTTCCGTCCATCCTTGCTGTGTTTTAGCATCACCTTGACCTCTTTCACCTGTTACATGTACAGTTTGGCTGTTCGCCTCGCCGTTTGCCGGGAACGCCGTGATGCCCGCCGTCCACCTGCTTCTTCCCGCCGCGCACGTGGTCAGCCGTCTCCGTGTCGTCCCCAACCCAGCGAACCACACTAGGCATCTCGAGGTGAGCTGCTCGCCATCCCTTGCCATCTGGCTCCCCACGATAAGTCGTCTGTTCGTCGGCACACCGCCGCGCCACCGCGGCGATAGCTCTGCTCGTAGACAACCTTGCCCAACCCGCTACCGCGGCTGCTGCTGGCCGGCGCGGACGCACCTGTCTGCCGGGGGGGCGTGCGCCTGAGCGCGGAGGAAGTTGGAGAGCAGCGTGGGCAAGAGTAGGAGGTCTAGCAGCACGACCAACAGCGGCGGCACGCACACGAGGAGCAGCGGTAGCTTCATCTTCTCCATCGCGGGCTGATCTGTTTAGGGGCATATTTTTCAGGGGGTTGGGTGCATATTTTCCTGCCACGTGACAAGTATGGACCTGCAGTGTATCATTTAACAAGTTTACGTACTCAGAAATACATTTTTCAAGTTCATAGGCCTAAGTGACACCCCGTAATAAGTTCAAGGACCTCTCATACATTTAACTCTTTAATCCATGCATCCAAAATTCTAGACAACACTGGATGACCGGACTATACATTAGTCCACCTAAACTTTAGTTCTACATCTACATATTAGGCTCTGTCACACGTGTATGTTACACATCTCAATCATACATGCATGTTACACGTCTACGCAGATCTAATTGTAAGATATCCATAGTTCTATATGCATGTATTATCTAAAGTTCTATTGAATGGTGCACGATATATCACTTCGGAGTTAAGGACTTTGGACATTTGCAGTAGGGTAGCAAAACCCTACACACAAGAGATACCTGGGCACTCAGAAGAGATACTCATATAGCTCATACATTAACCAACACATCCATCTATCTATATACATAGTTATTACATACACACGGTTGACACTCAAGAGTCAAGAACTCAACCATGTGATGCTCTAGAATTCTAGATATATCGCCCATTCATCGTGTACGTGTTCTTAGCGTATTTAGCTCAACTAAATCATTTTGTCAGTGGTTACCTCATATTTTTTATTTGAAACTCAGTGGTTACCTCATATTAGTGAGATCATAAAAAACCATGCATCGGGTCATATTGAATTGAGCTTAGTTCAATATAATTCCTCGCGCGTTTTCTCTTTCAGTTGTTTGTTTTTTTACCTTTTCTGGGCCGTTAGATTTTCCATCCAACGACTAGCAACCATCCATCAAAACTAGACCCTAAAGCCCATTCTGGGACAACGTTTAAGCCTTGTTTAGTTCAAAAAACACTTTCCAAAAAAGTGTTACAGTAGCTATTACATCGAATCTTATGATACGTGCATAGAGCATTAAATGTAGACGAAAAAAAACTAATTGTATAATTTGGTTGGAAATTACGAGACGAACGTTTTGAACCTAATTAATCTATAATTAAACACTAATTACTAAATAAAAATAAAAATGCTACGGTAGCCAAATTTTCAAAATTTAGCCCAAGGCCATACACCACACGAGCGCCGTCTGCGCGGCCGGAAGATGCTGCCATCCATGCTCTCAAAATCAACAGCCTCGCCGTCTCCGGCACGCCTCTACCGCCTCCTCCCCGTCTCGTCCCTCCAAACGACCAGCCATCTCCGGCCTGCACCCAATGCCGCATCTCCTACCCGAAGCCCCGCCTTCCTCTCCCCGTGCCCATCTCCGTACAGCCACAACAACTACGCCACCATCCTCCGATCCTGCGTCCTCTCCAGAGCCGTTCGGCCCGGTCGGCAGCTCCACGCCAGGCTCCTCGTGTCGGGCCTTGGCCTCGACGCGGTCCTCGCCACCAGGCTCGTCGATCTCTACGCGTCCTGCGGCCATGTGTCTCTCGCCCGTCGCTTGTTCGACGAAATGCCCAAACAGGGCAACGTCTTCCTGTGGAACGTGCTCATCCGTGCCTACGCTCGCGACGGTCCACGCGAGGCGGCAATAGAGCTGTACCGCGCGATGCTGGCATATGGCAGCATGGAACCAGACAACTTCACGTATCCGCCGGTTCTCAAGGCGTGCGCTGCACTCCTGGACCTGAGCGCTGGCCGGGAGGTGCACGATCGTGTCATGCGCACGAGTTGGGCCGCAGATGTGTTTGTGTGTGCAGGCCTCATCGACATGTACGCCAAGTGTGGTTGCGTGAACGAGGCTTGGGCAGTGTTTGATGGCACCACAGTTAGGGACGCCGTGGTGTGGAATTCAATGATTACAGCATGTGGGCAAAATGGGCGACCAGCAGAGGCGCTCGCTCTGTGCCGTAACATGGCGGCTGAAGGCATTGCGCCAACGATCGTCACTCTGGTGAGTGCGATATCAGCTGCAGCTGATGCGGCTGCGCTGCCTAGAGGGAGGGAGCTGCATGGGTACGGTTGGAGGAGAGGGTTTGGGTCACAGGACAAGCTGAAGACTTCCCTTCTGGACATGTATGCCAAGAGTGGTTGGGTTACGGTGGCGCGTGTTCTCTTTGAGCAACTCTTGCACAGGGACCTTATTTCTTGGAATGCCATGATCTGCGGATTTGGGATGCATGGCCATGCTGATCATGCATTTGAGCTCTTTAGCAGAATGCGGAGTGAGGCTCAAGTGATACCTGACCATATTACTTTTGTTGGGGTCCTATCTGCTTGTAACCATGGAGGAATGGTACAAGAAGCAAAAGAAGTATTTGATCTGATGGTGACTGTATATTCCATCAAGCCAACAGTGCAGCATTACACCTGCCTTGTAGATGTTCTTGGTCACTCTGGTAGGTTCAAAGAAGCTTCTGATGTTATTAAAGGAATGTTGGTGAAGCCAGATTCAGGGATATGGGGTGCACTGCTAAATGGTTGTAAGATTCACAAAAATGTTGAGCTAGCTGAACTAGCCCTGCATAAGTTGATTGAATTGGAGCCTGAAGATGCTGGTAATTATGTGCTTCTATCAAATATATATGCTCAGTCTGGGAAATGGGAAGAAGCTGCAAGGGTGAGGAAGCTGATGACCAATAGAGGCTTGAAAAAGATAATTGCTTGTAGCTGGATCGAATTGAAAGGGAAGTCCCATGGGTTTCTTGTGGGTGATGCTTCTCATCCTAGATCAGATGAAATATATGAAGAGTTGGAGCGATTGGAAGGTCTCATCAGTCAAACTGGCTATGTGCCTGACACCACGCCAGTTTTCCATAATGTGGAAGCTGATGAAAAGAGGAACATGGTATGGGGACACAGCGAGAGGCTGGCCATTGCATTTGGACTCATTAGTACACCCCCTGGGACAAAGCTGCTTGTGACAAAGAATCTTCGAGTTTGTGAGGACTGCCATGTTGTCATCAAGCTGATTTCACAGATTGAGCAGCGTGAAATTATCATAAGAGATGTTAACCGCTTCCATCACTTTGTAAATGGTGAATGCTCATGCAAAGACCATTGGTAACTTACACAAGCTAGAGGCTTGTTGAACACTATCTATTCCATGGAAGGTAAAAATGTCACAATGGTAATCTTATGTGAAACAAGACTGTTGAGCCTTGGGAACATGAACTTCAATTTTTCTCTAGGGAACAATAAGGTATATTTATCGTCCTCCATAAAAGCAAGCTTTTGTGTTGAATTCATGGCAAGTTTGCAAGCATCCTTTTGGATTGCTACTTATTAGATGGCTTAGAGAAAGCTTTAGGCAATGTACATTACTTTCCCTGTGGAATTTTTAGTCTCATCTTACATACATATAAGAAGGGCTCATGGTGGCAGACAATTGTGCTTTTCATGAATGCACCACATGATATTAAAGGTTGAGTAACCCATTTTGTTGTTAGTGTTTTTGTATTTCTTTTTCTAGTATAGGCATATATTAAACACAAAATATCGTTAAAGGACACTATAAAGGGGCCAGTTGAGAGAGATGCATTTACCGGGAGCACTGAATAATGCATTGTGAACTAAACTTTTTCTCTGTTTTGTCTGAAATCACCTTTAACTCTTTCAGTTCAATTTCTAGCTGGATCATTATAAGGGATCACAAAAATGATATAGCTTGACGCCTTCTCTTTTTACCACCTTGCCTTCATTTGTTTGTTATATCATGATATTGTTCTTAGTGATGCTGTAAACACTTTCTGGTACCAATTTATCATGTTGATGGGTTGACGTTGACATACTTCCAACTCTAAGTGTCCAGAAATCACAGAGGCAATTCGATTTGAAGAAGGCCAAAAGTCTACTGGTAGGTCAGATGTGGTAGTTCATGTTTTCCATATCAAACTTGAAGAATACCTTGCTGATATAAAGGAAGGCCACGTTTTTGGTCCTGTTCGTGCAGGTACATAATGTCTCATTACTCTGCTATGTTATTTCGTTCAGCATTTTTTAGACTATTTATTGCGTAGTACCTGACATTTACATGTTCACATATGCAGTCGCCTATACAAATTAGTTCCAGAAACATGGGCTACCTCATTCACACATTGTAGTTTGGCAGTGTGTTATGGATCGTGAGCCTTCCATTGCTGACGTTGATAGATATATATCTGCCGAGTTACCTGATCCTAGTGCTGATCCGTTAGGATTCTCCCTGGTTCAAGAGTTTATGGTATATGGTCCGTGTGGTTCAGCTAATCTAAATAGTCCTTGCATGAGAGATGGCAAGTGTTCAAAAAGGTATCCTAAGTCATTTAGATCTGAAACAGCTTTTGATGAAGCTGGCTACCCACTATTCAGGCACAGAAAAAATGGTATTGTTGCCTGGAAAGGGAATGTACAAGTAGACAATCAATTAATGTGGAGGCCTGTAACCAAACCTATCTGATCAAGTATCTATTCAAATAGGTAAACAAAGGATTTGACCGTGCTTCAAGAATCGTCAGTCATCTGCTTCAGAATCTACAAAGGGTGACGGTACAGTAGATCAAGAAAAGACTAGCTCTGATGGTATGGATGAAATTGCTGAATATATCAAATCTAGATATGTTTCTTGCTGTGACGCTACATGGAGGCTGTCCGGGTTTGAAATTCATGGTAAATTTTCCCCTCTAGAGCGTCTTTTCGTGCATCTACCAAGATTAAACTTTGTTATAGTACAAGAGGAAACTGATCTGCAGAGTGTTGTCAATGATCCAGAGGCAATTGTATTGGAGAAAACAAGAATCTCATGAATTTTAAGGATTTGAAGAATATATTGTAAAAGACATTAATGGTCAGACATGAGGGAATTCTTGTGAGCCATTAAAAAAGATCACAATTCCCTAAGCCACTGGAAAAGTTTGTTAGACTTTAGCTTCACTGTTCCAATTTTTTTTTTTGCCCTCCATGCCACTGCCGTCAAATTAGGCTCTAACGGTGTCAAACTGCAGGTGTGAAAAATCGAAAATACCCTTAGGTCTAAATATGCCATTAATTTTTTTTGAGTATCTTAACGACTTCAAATGGAAAAACTCAAAACTAGAAAGTTAGTAGATCTCGTCGAGATCTATAATTTTCATATAAAAATTATCTTAATTTAATACCGCAAAAAAGATATGATTTTTCTATGATATATTAAATATCAAATTATATATATTTTTCTTAATTAAATGAAGATAATTTTTATATGAAAATTGTGGATCTCAATGAGATCTACGACTTTCTATTTTTGAGTTTTTTTTTTATTTGAAGTCGCTAAGATGCTAAAAAAATTAATGTCATATTTAGACTTAAGGGTATTTTGACTTTTCATACCTGCAGTTTGAGCAGTGACGCTGAAGTCCGCCAAACTTTTTAGTGGCTCACAAGGAATTGTGATCTTTTATAATGGCTCACGGAATTCGTTTCAGACATATGCACTAAACACCTGAACAGTAAAATATGACAATTATTTTTTACCAGAGGATGTTTAATCTTTTGAGTGTGTGCTTTGAGAATTGTGCTGATTTAATAAAAGGGTTACCCATGCAGTTCTCATATTTCTTTCTCCATTTTTTTCCCTGACAAGATCGTACAGTTGATATTCAAGAACCGACTGTCCGACTACCTACTTGCATAGTCGATGTCACAGGATTTTCCCTGTGGACGTGCTACGGCATCTATTACATCAGGTCCGTTGTCCTAGCTTCCTTGTTGGTGCAAATGTACTGCGTGGAACTCTCTAACACAAGCTTCTGCATCCATTTTCACAAGCTTCTCTTCGATGACCCTATTCCGCTGCCGCCGTTTCCATTTCCCTTTAGGGTTTGTGTTAAAAAAAAAATCCCTTTAGCGTTCCCCATCTCTGTCTAACTCTGGTACTTAGCAGCCTGAAATGTGGAACATGGTCATGTTTTTTGGTAAGTTCTCACAGTAAAAAAAAATTATAAACCATTTACTTTTAGGAACATGACTGCTCCTAAATAAAGCAGAAGAATTCTCTATTGCATCGTGGACGTGAACAAAATATGCTTAGTCGCAAGATGGCTCGCGGTCGCGGCATTGATCAGTGGGGATTGGGGAGGAGCTGAGGACCAAGGCACAAGGCAATGCCATGCCATCTTCTTCAACATTACGAAGAACTTTGAATCATTTCACCTGTGTCTTGTACTCGTGTTTGTGCCACGACGTCTTGAGTGTCAAATGCACGCAATAATTGCCAAGATATCAGATCCAGCAGTTCGGGACTCGCAAATGTCGTGTAGTACAAGTTTCAGAAAATTAAGAACCTTTCAATTCATACGGTGTCACGGTACTAGTAGCAGCCACTGGAACATGACAGCGCTGACCGCTGGTTCATTAACTTAACTCACAGTCACAGGTACAGAACTCGCAGAAGTCGTCAGGTCATGCTGGTATGGTGGAACGTACCTAAGGTTAAGCATCACTACAATGACATTACTATCATGTACTAGTTTTTTAATATAATGAAATATATCAATTTCATCTGCTACGTCATGAGATGTACTATGCATCTTTTGATGCTGATCTGATACATCAACTATGAAATTGTCTACTCAGCGCTCAGCATCGTATATACATGTCCAGTCCTTTCCACGGCAACCGAGAGGTTTACTCCTACCATTTGGCCTCCGTTGTTTGCTCGAATTTATCAGCACTATTTTTCAATCATGAAATAATGTTTTTCTCTCACAGCAAATTAACATCAGCAGTAGTTTTTTTTTTCAGCAGCCGAACAGGGCGTTGTGGGTTGTCGTCCTTGTCGAGTGTCTCCCTGATCGAACGCTGCGGTCCTGGCCTTCTGGCCTCTGCCCTGAAGTGTGAACTGTGAACTGTGCGCTTTGACTTGGGTGGAATCAGCCTGCAATCAGCTTGCGCGAGCCATTCGCGGACATTGTCCTCGCGCGCTGCAAGTCTGCTGCGAGTGACAAGGGAGAGCCGGGCGGTCGGCGTCGTGCGAGTGCGACTGGCATGGCATCGCAGTCGCGAGCACGGGTGGGACAAAGGTCATGTTCGCTTCTCTTACAAACCGTACTATTTTAACGAATAAAAAATATTTTTTTATCACAACAAATCAGCGAACAGTACTTTCAACTATAGGTCTGTTCGCTTGTCTGAATTCTAGAGGAATCTAGATGATTTAGAGGAATGCTGAAGAAATTTACGAGAAAAAAATACTATTTCGAATAAAAAAATAAATATATCAAAACTAGGTATAAAGGCACGTGAACACCGGCCTATGGCTTTTCGGCCTAGCGAACAAAGGTGGCACTCACCTCGCTGCTCGGACTACGGATCGTGTCTCCACCCCACCACACTCCGCTCCGAATACATTCAAGCCAGGCGGGCGATGCCGGTCCAGATCGAGCTTCGGACCCGGACTCCTGCCAAGTGCTGGCTTCTCTTCTTCTTGTCTTGCGCTTCGTTTCGTTACTCACCGAGCCCCGTAACTCGCATGATAGACATGAACAGGATCTGTAAATGCAGTAGAAGTATGTGACCGTAGCACGTATGTGCTTCGAGTACTCGTGTCTCGACAGACGCTTTGGTGTGACACGCTGCGACGGACGGTACGAGGGAGCACAGGGAACAGTAGCATAGTAGGGCCCGTTCACTTAGCTGAAAAAAACTGAAACACTATTTCGACTGATTTGTTGGAGAGAAAAACATAATTCCAACTAAAAATCAAACTAAAAAGCAAGCGTGCCCTCCAAGAATGCAGGAGCTACGGAGATCCGGATTAAAGGGCAAGAGAATACTCCTAAAAACTAGATTACTGTGGCCCTACTTGGAGACAGTACTTTGAGATGCTAATAAAGATTCAGGGAGGACGAGAGGAGGGGAAGACGGGAGCAGGGCATTAACCACGCACCAACGACCCGACCTGACCGGCATTCAAGTCCCGGCGTCCCGCGCCGCGGCCCATCCCTCTCATAGTCTCATCCCGACCCCGTGAGCGAGAAGCCAACCCCCAAAAAACGACCTGTCCCACGCGGACGCGGGAGCACACCACCACCGGACCACCACAGCAAGCGCCCCACAGGCCACAGCGCTATCGCGACGTCGCCACCGCCACAAGGCACACGGGGACGACGGGACGGGCGCCCGCTCCACTACCGACCGCCGGCCTCACACAGCAGGCTACAAGTCAGAACCCAAGAAAACCCCTAAAGTCAGTCAGATCCCAATCAAAAGAGGAGCATCGCAGAGCTGTACGTGTCACGCGGGAGGTAGCGCTCCATCCGCGGTGGCCATGGTCTCGTCTCCTTCCCCACCCTTGCCCACAGCTGTAAGTGTGCCTCCCTCCTCTCCTCGTCCTCTGTTACGACGGTTCCGCCGTGCCTGCCTGAGTAGCTGAGTCGTTCACTGCACAATGGTGCGCCGTCAGGCCTCGGAACCGAAGCAGCAGCAGCAGCGAGGCGGCACCAAGGCGGCGCCGGAGAAGGCCGACAAGAAGTACGCGAGAGTCCCGACGCCGCTCCACCACGGCCACGGCGGCGCCAGCAAGAAAACACCCCGCGGGGCCAAGGGCAGCGGCGACGCGGCCGCCGACCCGGCGGCGTACGTCGCGGCGGTGTCCTGCTCCGACTGCCGCTTCAAGCAGCGCACCCTCGCGCCGGCGTCGCCCGGCGCCGTCATCCGCTCGCTGTTCGTCTCCCTCACCCGCCGCTCCACCCCGCGCTCGTCGCCGTCGGCCACGTCGGCCTCGGGCGGCGGCGGCGCCGGCGACGCGGGGGACGTCGAGCAGTGGCGCCTCGCCGCGGCCGACCTCTCCCGCCGGCTCGCCGCGGCCACGCGCACGCGGGACGAGGCGCTGGAGGAGACCACGCGCCTGAAGCACTCCCTCGCCGAGCTGGAGCTCAAGCTCGCGCGCCTCGAGTCGCGCGTGCTCCCGACCCCCGCGGCCGCCGCCGCCTTCCCCGTCGACTCCTTCCTCCACGCCGTCTCCACCGCGCGCGCCGCCGTGCGGAACCTCGCGCGCGCGCTGTCCACCCACCTCCGCAGCCCCTCCAACCCCGGCCCGAGCCTCGAGAGCTTCCTCAACCGCGCTTTCCACGCTGACTTCGAGCTCGACACCGACGCCGACGTCCACACCCCGGACCCGGCGGGCCGGTGCCAGGCCAACCTCGCGGCGTACCACGCCATCGCGGTGCTCACGTGGGAGGAGGTCCTGCTCCACGGCACCAAGCACTACAGCGACGGGCTCAGCCGCTTCTGCGACGCCAAGATGAGCGAGGTGGTGTCCTCGCTCGGGTGGGCGCGCGCGCGGGCGTGGCCCGAGCCGCTGCTGCAGGCCTTCTTCCTTGCCGCCAAGGGCGTGTGGGGCGTCCGCCTCCTGGCGCGGTCTGTCCACCCGCCGCTCCCCGTTGTGCGCGCGGAGCGAGGAGCGCGCTTCGACCCGCGGTTCATGGAGGACGCCGCGACCAGCCGGGCGGGGAGGCTGGAACCGGCCAGCGTGAAGATGATGGTGGCGCCAGGGTTCCACGTCTACCTGGGCGGCGCGGGCGTGGTGAAGTGCAGGGTCGTGTGCTTCTACAGCAGCAGTAACGGCCGCACCGGCGGCCACAGAGATGGCGGGAGCAGCGCTAACGGCAGCGTGGGGTTGGGGAGCAGCTGTAGTGACATCAATGGGAGTGCTACAGACGTGGTTGATAGCTGTAAGAGCAGTAGGGTAGGGTTGTTGCACAGGTAGAAAGAACACTCCTTTATAATCCGTTTTTTTTAGCTTATTTTTGTTTTTCACTCTAACAAATCGACCGGAACAATATTTTAACTTATTTTTTCAGCGAAGCGATCGAGGCCTTACTTATGTTCGTTAAAAACATGATGATCTACGTCAGTGCCGGTCCTAGAATTTTAAGAGCCCTCTATCAATCCTATCGCAACGGCCCCTCTTGACCATATATAAAATTTTATAATATATAGGCACTAATTTTATTTACAAAACAAAAGCAAATTCAGTAATATATTTTTAATTTAATATGTCTGATAATTATCGAGGAACAATGTAGATTAAGCAATATATTTGTAAATGTATGATAATTATCGAGGAACAATGTACATTAAAAAACAATATATTCGTTTTCTTTTCTCACCCATGACAAATGTTTCGTAGGTAACATTCTAAAATTCTAACACCTAAATTAGAAGAAAAATATGACTATATGGGTACAAAGTATTAGAAGTCTGGAATACTATACGAATAATTAATTTGGATTAAAAATAAAAAGAAAAAAAATACCTTGGGCCTAAACAATTGATCGGTGATCGTAATTCGTAAGAAGCCAATAATCAAGATGTCGTCGTCGTGGAGCCCTACCTGGTCGCCATCCTCGTGCGCCATGTCCGTATCTCCGGTAGTATAGATCTTCGCGGCAGCGTCTCTCTAGCTCCGCGTGTGTAAGGCGCATATCGTGAACTCATGATCAAAGTATGCTGTGTGCAGCATGACTCCTCGCCTCCTCTCTACCCGAGGGCCGTGGGGAAAGAAAACTAGGAAATAAATGTTGATGTTGTCTTTTTGGGCCGTCTGGCCAGTTCTATGTCACTCTTCTTATTAGTTTGCTAATGTCTAATGGACTATAGGACCTGTGAATTTATATACCTGGGCTTGGGCCCCTCCTCCGCTTGGGCCCTCAGCCGTCGCACCTCCTGACCTACCCCTAGGGCCGGCACTGATCCGCGTTTAGCCGTTTACTGCTGCTTGTGTGAATATGGGGTTGCATTATCGCTTATGCTGAAATTTGACTTATGCTGATGCTTGTGCTGAAATGTTGTGAGAGAAAAATATTATTCCGTGGCTGAAAAATAGCTCAAGCGAACAGGGCCATTAATCACGAACAGTTTATGTTAATTTTGATTTATATGTAAGTTGGAGTCCCACCACAGATCAGATTCTTTTGTTTGGCCGAAGCTGCATTTGCACGAGTGCGACGTTGCCGCGTTGCGGCATGAGATGACCAACCTTGGAAGCTTGAAACTTTCCCATCACAGATCCCAATGGAATAGGTTGATTGGACCCTCCAACTATCATAACCGTCAGGCACGTGTCTTTGCCCTTTTGGTTGTGCATTTTTCTTTAGCCATCACGCTTGTCAAATTCTTATCTTCTTAATAATTGGTTTTACAGAAGAAATTTGACATATAAGAAAATATTGTGTACATAACTTATGAAGAGACGGGAATGATATTTTTTTTGAAAAAACATATAATAAACCCTATGAGTATAGCTGCTAATTATTGGATTTTCTTGTCATGAGCTAATGATTTGTGTTTTAGGGGAAAAAATGGTCTAGAGAGGTGGTAAATCACCATCAGAAAGTTCCTATTATGCGCTGAGGGATTCTCATCTATGTTGAATATAGCGGAGGTGGAAGGCAGGCTGCAGGGAATTACTATGGCCCTTTTCGCTTCTCTTATAATCCGTTTTTTTCGGCTTGTTTTTTCAGCCGGAACAGTATTTTCTCTCACAATAAATCAGCCGAAATAGTATTTCTGCTTATTTTTTTTGTGAAGCGAACGGGGCCTATATATGCTAATGCACACATCATTACTCACTTGCTGTTTGCAAATGATGCTTCACTTCTCTTAAAAGCAAATAGAGAGAATGCAACTTATCTGCACATGTGCTCCAAGTGTATCAGGAGTGTTCAGGTCAGATGATCAACAAATGGCCTGTTCGATGGTTGGTACTGGTGCTGGTTTGGGCTGGCTGGTGCTGATTTTTTGTGAGAGGAAAACACTGTTGACTGGCTGGTTTGGACTGGCTGAAACCAACAAGCGAACAGGCTGAAAGACAAGTCATCAGTGCTTTTTGTTGGATTTATTATGGGCTAGGCCCATTTATATATCTAATAAATTATAACTCTATGGCTTGTAATTGTGGGTATTATTATTTGTACCGGATTGGAAGTTAAAAGGACGTTGACTCAACTTAAATGATTGGAATGGATCCGTCTAATTTGAGAGGTTGAGAAACGGACAAGGGCGTGCCACACGCGCGCGCGCGCCGCCGCCGCCGCCGGCCGGGCCGGGGCATGGCGTGGTGTGTTAATTTTTAGCACCCACTAACTCGACCTGACGCTTGATCTCCCTGAGTCTCTCGATCTTCCCAGCGCATGCCTCTGAGGCTTCTCGGCTTCCCTTGCGATTCTTCCAACTCCAGATAAAAAAGAGAGAACATATTCCAGAAACAGGGTTCAGTTGCTCGATAGCTTTCCTCATCTCGTAACTCTGTGCGCACGGAGGAGCGAGAGGGCAGGTGCCTCCGAAGCCCTTGTCGTTCGGGACCTTGCACGGGGGATCGGCAATTAGGTTTTTGGGGAGCGTCTACGCGACTGCCCAAGAGTCTCCGTCTCTGTACGTCCGTACGTCGTCTTCTTCCCGATCACCGGCGTCTCCTTCTTCGAGTACAGCAGCATGTCGACTTCGGAATCACGGACGGGAGGATATGATCATTTCATCTTCTCTCAGTTTATTCCATATGTCTAGAATTGCCGTTTTAAGAGATGTCTTATGTCTGTTTTTGTCAAATATATGCTTTGCGTATGTGTTTTATTGTTACAGTCATGTTGCTTTATATGTAGCCTTATGCTTGTTGCAAATATGAGATGTATATCATGCCAGTTTCTCTCTGTTATGATTTATGAATCAAATTCACATGTTTTTTATTTTCATATGTTTCACATGATACATGATCTAGCATGTATTTTCACCATGGATATAACCAATGTCATGATTTTAGTGATTAATATTTCTTTATATGTCATCATCATGCTGTTAAATTATGGAATTAAAATGACATAAAAATTACCTATTATTCTAACACTTTTTAGTCAATGCGAGTCAGCATGCTGCTGTGGAACTGTGGGATGCAAGGAACAAGGCCATGTTTAGTTGGCCACCGAATCGGCGAAGGCGGATTTCCTGGCGCTACTGTAGCTACGGTAGCGTTTGTTTTTATTTGGTAATAATTGTTCGATCGTTAATTAATTAGGCTTAAAATGTTCGTCTCGCAAAGTACAACCAAACTGTGCAGTTAGTTTTTGATTTTGTCAACATTTAGTACTCCATGCATGTACCACAAGTTTGATGTGACGGGGAATCTTTTTTTTACGTAGTGCTAAATTCAGGAACTGGGGGAACTAAACAAGGCCCAAGTTGCATGCCGGAGAACCACCTCTGAGCACGGATATGATATGTCAAGCTACTCTTAAGGTGGCTGGCTTGCTAAAGAATCAAGGAACTACACAGAAGCATGCTGTCATGCCTGTAACGCCCAGTCCAGGAAGACAGCTAAGATCCATTCTACACGTTCAATAGACTACACCTGCTAATTAACTCTATTACGTTTTCGTCCTCGCTTCACGCAAAAGGTTTGAACCAGAGTTAACAGTCTTCCAGGTCCTAGCTTTTAAGCTGGTTCGGCTCTGCTTTAGCTTCCGAGGTGGTACTAATTCTACCGTTGCAGTGTGTTTTCCGTGATGCTACAGTACTCGCATCACGGCCGATTCCTGGAGCTCTTCGTGCGCACGCAGGTGGGGAGCCAGATTATGCGCACACGGCCGGCGCCGGTGGTGTCTACACGGGAACATGTCTCGCGGTGGGGGCGGTGTTGTGCGCGGCGGCGGCGGCTGGCGGGCATCGCGCGTGGAGTAGAGAAAGGAGAAAGGGGAGCGGATAGGAGAGAGTGGAGTAGGCCATGGGTAATACAGACGTCAGGGGTGAGACAGTCATTTTATATCGGCCTGCTGGTTCGGATCCAAAAAGCACAGCGGACTTGCATGCCACGCAAGAAAAATAGCAAATGTGTATCGTTTTTCTTCTGGTACGCTAAAATCGTCGTAGCGGCCAAACCTAAGCTCCTGTCTCAGGAGACATCGGTAATAATAGTAAAAAAGTTAAATATCCCCTTTCGCTTCGCCTTCACCCGTTCGCCGCGCGGCCGAGCTCTCTGGTTCCGCCGCTCCGCCTTCCTCCACACGCTGACTAATGGCGACCGCCATGCGGGGCGGCAGCCTCCTGCGGTTCGGTTTCCGCCACGTTTCCTCCCTCCTGTTCCAGGCTTCTCCATGCCCTGTCCCGAGCCTGGGCCTGAACCTGGCCGTTGGCCGGACCGGGCTCGTACGCCTCCGGTGCTCGGCGGCTGGGGCCGGTGAAGACGGGGGCAAGAAGGTGTCGGCTCGGCTGGCTCTGACGCAGCAGGTGCTACGGGACGCCGAGGAGCGCGCCGCGTCGGCGGGCTCCGACCCTGCCCCCAAGATCACCCTGGGTAATTAACTACAGCTGGCCTCAATCCTCATTCTGCCTTCCAATCGGTCCCAGAACCCTTATTGATTTCAGAATGTCAATGTCACGCCCTAGCATCAAACCTGGTGTAGTCTGCAGCTTATGTACCACAGTTCATAGTCGAGAATCCGGCGTAACCCTAATACTTATTATGATCGCAAGGGGCACTGTATGCAACTGTTATAGGAGCTTTGCACTGGGTCTCCTCAGGGCTCAAGCCTGTAGAAATCCTATTTGCATAATAACTTATGGGCGTATGTGGTAAGTTCATTTGACCGAAATGGTTACCCCCAGGGAGTTGTCTGTGTGATTTAAATGTATCTGCTACTAATTCATTAATTCCATGCTAAGTTCATTTCACTTTACAAACAAGCTGTGAACATGATTGGTATGATCTTTTATCAGTGTGCCGTTCTTTGATTAGAATCTGCCGGTGCTGTAGAATGCAAGTTTATGAACCTTACAAAAGCAGATGAGGGTACAAGTTACCTCATGAAACTGGCCTTTTGCCATGGTGTTTACATATTCTGTTCAATGGTGTTGAACTGTCCAGGGAGCTTGTAGCTGCTTTTGTTCTGGATGTTGTGCTCTTTAAACTGTGTTTGCATGGGTTATAGTGCTAGGCTAGTTGCTTGAATCAAGTAGGTTAGTCCTAGTACATCTGCCCGGCGCTGTTTTCTCCCTTCTTTTTCTGGTTATCAGACTGCTTGTATTTCTGTTATTACAGTAATGGAAATGGGGTCTTTACTCACTTCCAAAAAAGGACAGAGTACAAGTGAAAACATGGAAAGTGTGGGATGGTTGAGGTGATAATGAGTTTTGGCTTGTAAATCAATGTCTCGAACTGTATTTTGTGTTCATAAGACAGTATAAACACAACATCTTCTGCGATGTTCTGGGTTAGTTGCAATTGAGAATGCATTTTCTTGTCACATATTGTTGAAGATGAAGATGTTACCTGTGCAACAGAAGACGATTGAGAGCTCTTTCTATGAACCTGAGTGGATTTGGTATGTCATCAACTGCAATATATGTAGAACTGTAGATGGGACTGGAAGACGATAATATCCATGTAATTAGAACTTATGGTGGTTTCCTGTCTCGATAATTATATGGGTCCAACATGAAATATTTTCAGTGTTATGAAATGATTTTTGAAATTTGATGACCATGTCTAATTAGTGCTTGAATTACCAAAATTTGTTCTAACTCCATTTTATCTGCAGATCATGTTACTGTTAATTTTGCAAGAAGTGGTGGTCCTGGTGGTCAGAATGTTAATAAAGGTTTCATCTTTTCCACATTCTCTTTTTTTTTCATTGCATATAGACCATTGGTGCCAGTTTCTCATGTGTTTAATCATCGTATTGACATTTGTTTACATTTGTATTCTCTTCCTCCTGTTTCTGCATTCAGAATTTAATGAGTGGCGTGCTTCATTCAGATCTCAATCACTCAATAGCATGTATTTTTCTCTTTTTCTAATTTTCATTCTTATTTATTAGATTAGATAGTTGTTTTTTTAAAGAACATTCATTAGATAATTGTTGTTGCCCATACTTCGATGTGCTTAAACTCTTTTGGCTGATGAATATGGCAAAATAAGGGCTGACCACCCTCTAGGCGACGGCTTCTCCTGTTGAGAAGAGTTTTTTTTTATCATAACCTAGTTTGGGTAGGCAAAGCTCATTGCTATGTTGCTTCTTGATTGTTCGATCTCCCTTGCAGGCATGTCCTGCCTATATAGTGTATAGTATTTAGGCACCAGCCAGCCAACAGATCATATCCAATTTATATTCCTAAGCATAAGGTTCCTAATACTAGTAAATTTCCTAATTGATGCATGGTTTCCTCTAACGAACTCAGAGATATCTGAGTAATAATCAGTCAATTATTACTAAATAAGTCACAACTTAATTTTTGCCTCTTTGTTCTAAAGTCCCACTACCATCTTACAGTTAACACAAAGGTTGACATGCGATTCAATGTTAAGCAAGCTCACTGGCTTGGGGAGAGAATCAAGGAACGAATATTACAAGCGGTAAAAGAAATCTCCTTATGTAACTACTGTTTCCTTACACTCTTTTATAATCATCTAGTCTTATATGCATTTTATTAATTCCTTTCATATCTCTTTTCTAAATCCTGTGAACAGATTGTTTATATTTTGAGTTCTCTTTATGTACAGGAGAAGAACAGGATAAATAAAGATGGAGAGCTTGTTATATCTTCTACAAAAACTAGAACACAGAAGTAATTATTGTTCTATTATCCTTTTAGTCATTTTTTATTGCAATTGATACGATTTGTCATCTTAGGGGCAACATTGAAGATGCATTGCAGAAAATACAGGTATGCTTCTTCCATTTCATTTTTTTTTCCAGGGCTAGATCACTTGCCTTACTCCACAAATCTATCTTGAACAGGCAATCATTGATGCTGCATCATATGTTCCTCCACCCCCAACAGAAGACCAAAAGAAAAAGATTGAAAAAATGTAAGTTGTTTCTTTCACCAGTTGCTTCCTCCTAAGTCATGTGTCAATTAGTAGTTCTTATATGAGATAGACTGCACCAAAGTGCTCAATAATTTCTCCAGAATTGAATTAAAGGAACACCGTATATGATTTTCTTAAACTTCTCATACTCTAAAGTTCCTGGTAGTTCTGCATTATTGACTATCATATCTTTCAGATATTTCATGGACTTACTTTGAGATGCTTCAATATTGCACTTTTTTTTAGAGTTCAATGGCTGATGCCCCCCATCTTTTAACTTTCATTAAAAGACAGCAAAATCCTTACAGCTCTGAAAGTATCATCCACCAAATCCTCACACTCCAGATAGACCTGATGCACCTCAACCTACTGATTGACCCTAAAAACTGAAAACAGCAAAATCTCCCACAGTTATGGACAATTCACCCGTCGGCTGCACCACAGGCTAACCAACAGAACGACTTACAGACGCTGCACCACACCCATACAAGACTGACAGACAGAAACTCAAACCAGCCTGCAGAAACTCAAACCAGCCTGCAGGCGCCCCAGTCTTGGATTGCACCCGGAGGAGGAACCAGCTCCGGCTTCATCTTGAGATAACTCTGCATCCTGTCCCATCACTTGCAACTTCTCCAGAGACACGTTCAGACCCACCATGTTCTTCAGGGAGGAAGCCACAGAGTTATAGAAGCTTTCCTCTTGATCTCCAGAACAATTCTTGACAGAGCATCCCTTTTGTTCTCCGGGCACAAATTAGCCAATTCTGTGCCATAAAAGCAATCTTGTTCAGCAGGATATCCATCCCTTTCCAGCCTACATTCTGAAAATAAAGGTCATCTCTTAGCTTCCATAAGCTCCAAAGAGCAGCAGAGGTGACTAAGTTCAACACCACATGCCTTCTATTGCTAAGCCAAAATTATCCAATAGACTCAAAGGAACCCCCTAAATTTACTTGAAAAATATCAGAGAGCACACACCAGAGCTGTGTAGCAACGGCACACTCAAAAAACAAATGCAAAACAGATTCCAATTCACAACAGAAAAGACACGAGACATCATCTAACTTTCTTCTCTTACTCAGGTTGTCTCTAGTAAGAACCTTGTTTTTGGATAACAACCACAAGAAAAAGTGAACTCTAGGAGGGACTTTGATATCCCACACAGCGGACACAAACACAGGTTGGACTCCTCTAAAGTTAATAATTTTATAAAGGGACTGTGTGGAGTAGATGCCATTTGAATTATACTGCCAAATCATAGCATCTTCCTCCTGACTGAAAACTATAGTAGAAGCCAAATTCAAGATCTCTAACCACTGCTGTTCCAAAACACCATCAAAAGTCCTCCTAAAGGTGCATTTAAGATTTAAACCATCCCAAGCATCACAAACAGTGATATTATGCTCATTGACCAACCTGTAGTCTATAATACTGAATAGCTATGCTTGAGGTACCCAGCCAGTTATTTTCCCAAAAGCGAATTTTCTTTCTATCACCAATCTTCCACCTAAAGCCCATTCTGGCCGCTTGAACCCTTTAAAAAAATTAGAGGCGCCACTAGTTCTCGATTGAAAAATGTTCTTATTGTTAGTATCATACTTAAAGTCTATTAACTCTCTCCAGAGTTCAATATTGCACTTTCCAATGTCAAATGCATAAATTGTGTAGATTAGTGTTTTTGTTTTAAGTGTATCATATTACTACTAGTAGTTACAGTTAAGAATGGCACTGCAGTTGCTTAAGAATGGCACTGCAGTTGCTAGTAATTTATTGTTCAGAACGTTTGGGTTGTTTCTTCAGGAGATCATAGAAACCGTCTGTAGTTGTAATGGCTAAATCTTTACTATTTCACTCGTACTCAAAATTTGAGGATGTTTCTTGACTGCAAAGATTAAACGTTCCATTTTTGGGGCAAATCACAGTGGTAATTTTATTGTTCCGTTGGTAATTACAGTGCTGCAGCCGCTGAAAGGAAGAGACTTCAGAATAAGAAGGTGATTTCACAGAAGAAGGAATTTAGACGTAACAGAACTAGCTGGGATTGATGCAAGGTATCTTGCACAGACCCGTCTTTCTGTTTTGTGTCATTCCCCAGTGGGCATTAACAATATTTCAGCAGGGTAACTACCGCTGTTTCTTATTCTCTAATCTCTCTTTGTCGTCCGTTTAAAAGTTAATTCGAACGCTTTATTGATTGAGATGCACCTGAGTCTTTGACAGGTGCCATTTGCTCAGCTTGTTCTTGGGGTAGCAAAAGCATTCTGCTGATCCTTACTGCACTTGGTGTACACAGACCGACGAAAAACAAGGGTCGGACTTGCTGAAGGCATCTTGGTGAAGAGTTTGCATCTCCAGTTTTTGTTTCGTCCATTGGGGACCGGCCTCTGACGGGAAACACTGCTTTGGTCCTAACACTTGCCATCAGTTGTCCTGGTCCTGAACTTGATCAGAATATCAGATAGTTAGTATTCATGTGTAACTGAGGGTTCATCTGTAAAACTGTAAACAATTATTAGCAAAATTTGGGGTCAGCGACGCCCGTTGAAGAGCGTCATTGTGTGACTAGCTGAACATTGGACATGTTTTTTGGCGTCCACTGGCAGCTGAGTTATGCAGTGACGAGAGACAGCGTCATACAGTATCAATGAGCATGGGGTATGCCTGAAGTTCTGACTTTTGAGTATTGAAAATAAGGCTCCACTGTACCAGGCCATGGGGCATCGGAGGTCACCGGTTCATCACTGCTCACGGACTCACGGGCTAGGAGCCTAGGACCACACTGAATTACTGATCCAGCGAGCGAGCATTACCTCGAGTGGTTCCGTCCCCGTCGTGGGAAGGCCCTGGTCGGGAGTTCGACTCTCGGCTGCCACCGGTACAGCTGTGGTAATGCACAGTTTGTGCAGAAAAAAAAAGTCCTCGCCTGTCTTGCGTCCCAAAGCACATGTAAAAAGGTTCCGATCCACTCATAGGGTTATAGGGCACTGTGTGAGGGCGGGGCATGGGGTTCGGGGGTTTTCTCGGCCTACGTGAGAGGTCTCTTCCTAGCGCAAAAACTGCGGGGGCTGGCCGAGATTTTTTTTTTTTGAATTACTGATCCACCGTTGATTGCCAGTGCGCCAGTTCGAACTGGCAGATGACCTACTTTAGAATTAGATGTTTCAAAAATGTATGGTACTTGGCCTTGTGATGGTCACTAAAATGAATTGTTTACATTTCGTGCAACAAATATGTTGAGTTTTATGGATCAAATCAAATAATAATAAGAGAAGTTATTTTTTAAAAGGATAGACAAGTACATTGAAAACGAGGTTCCTTCGGACGAGGCATATTCCTTTATCACGATAATCACTACCAACCTTAGTCAAAGCATGTCTAATAATATAACTCACTGCTACTTGGAAGGACATTTACAGCTTATCTTAGCTCACTCATCTGAATAGTTGGTTACAAAGACACACACTATCAATAATACACGGTCACTTTCTTCTCTCACAAACTATCTTAGAGCACATGCATCAGCTGTGTATAATCTTACATATCACTTCTTTTCTCTCCCTTCTTCTCTTCTCTCCCTCGCCTTAACATAAATCTTTGTTATACTTGTCGGCTTATCCCTTTTTCCACTCTCACAAACTATCTTGGAGCACGTGCATCAGCTTTGTGTAAACTTACATATCATTTGTTTTCTCTATTTTCTTCTATCTCCTTCACCTTAACATAAATCTTTGTTAGGTTTATCCCTTTTTCCACCACCTCGTGTTCCATCTACGGAGGGATGAGTGATTGGAAGGGTTTGAGGAACCCAGGCCTTGTTTAGATTGGAAAAAATTTCAACCTGATGAATAGTAGCACTTTCGTCTTATTTGGTAAATATTGTCCAATCGTGGACCAACTAAGCTCAAAAGATTCATCTCGTGATTTCCAACTAAACTGTACAATTAGTTATTTTTTTTACCTACATTTAATGCTCCATACAAACGGCTAAAAATTGATGTGACGGAGAGAGAGTGAAAAAACTTGGAATTTTAAGGGTATCTAAACAAGGCCCCAATGTCCTTGCTTGTTTCTAACAACCTAGTTAAGATATCTTTTCGTGTTTCTTTAGGTAACCATACATCCCTTGTTTTTGTTTTGGTGATTAACATAGGCATGATATGAGCGATAATTAGCGGTCGAGCATCTTATGTTCGTAGAGCAGACTCCTATCTATCGGTCAGTGTCATTTCATTGATTGTAGTAAAAAGGTGTAGCATGGTCTAGGGCTCCTTGCTGTGGTGCCAACCAAGGTGTCGAGACAAAACCACTTTGTCACGCTAAAGAGCAGGACATAAAAATGCTCCTACTCATTAGATCATTGATGTTAATATTAGTGCATATGACATGACAGCATGATTTAGTCATTGGTGCAATCAAACAAGTTACTCCTCCGTCTCAAAAAAAAAATATAATTCTAACGTTCAAATTTTGTCTTAAAAAATATGTAATTGTAGAATTAAAGATCACATTTTTCAATGAGATTCACCAATTAAAAATATCTCTACACGACTAAAAACTACTCAGACTAGGGGCCCTGTAGATCTAAAAATAAATATTTTTAGATTATTAGTATTGATTTTAAATACGTACATTAAAATAAAAAGGGGGAAAAACCATTCAGCGCATGCGTAGTCTAGACAGACCGACTGGCAGAACCTCAAGCTAGGGGCCCTGTGAGTCGTGTCCCCTGGCAGGCAGGAAGGCGTCATGCGGTCACAGTGACGCTACTGGCACACCGTGCACGCGAGACAGACGCCCGGACGCACGCTGGTCAGTTGGCAACCCCCGAGGCCGCCTGCCATCGCCATTCCCTCGTCGTCCGCGCCGGCCGCGTCAGGGTCTCAGGGAGTGCCTGTCACGCTGCCACTGCGCGGGTAGTACAGTACTGTAGTTAGATGGCGCCAGGCTTTGACTGCCGTCTGCCGGGCACGGGCACGACGACGTGCTGTGACGGACGACGGACGGACCAGCGGCCAGCGATCTGTTTTAGTTTCTCCCCTGAGTTTACTAGTATCTTTGGACGCGTACATAAAATATTAAATATAAATTAAAAAATAATTAATTATAAAGTTTACGATTAATTTATGAGACGAAACTTTTAAGCCTAAATAGTATATGATTTGACAACGTGATGCTACAGTAACACATGTGCTAATAACGGATTAATTAGGTTTAATAAATTCATCTCATAGATTACTGACGGATTCTGCCATTTGTTTTTTTATTAGTATCCGAATATTCCAGCCCAATATAAGGGCGCATTTAGACGGCGATTTTTTTTGGTTTTGGCTACTGTAGCACTTTAGTTTATATTTGACAATTAGTGTCTAATTATGGACTAATTAGGTTCAAAAGTTTTGTCTCGCGATTTCTCACCCAACTGTGCAATTAGTTTTATTTTTTGTCTACATTTAGTACTACATATATGTGTCGCAAGATTCGATGTGATATTTTAGGGTGAAAATTTTTGGGAACTAAACCGCACCTAATAACCGATGTAATACCCAAACTTTAAAACAAGGCCCAACTGGACGGTTGGACGTCCTGTCGCAGTGGACGACGACCGTGGGGAACAGCGGAAAACCCGCGGGCACGGCAGAGGCGACCGCGGTGTGCTGCCACGGACGCGACCGGCGCCTGTGGACTCGCTTCGCTGTGCTGGGTCTGCAGCTGGCCTAGCTGCTGCTGGGTGTCGCCGTGTCGGTGTCGCGCGCACGGGCGTGTGCACCCGGACATGGGTTCTGTTCTCTCGTCGAGTGCACGGGCCACGGGGTGAGGTTTGGCGGGGCATTGAGCTCGCGGGCCGACGGGGCGGGGCGTCAGCGCGGTTACTGTCACTGCTGTGGTCACGACCGGGAAGGCAACAACAGTACAGCGTCCGTGTTGTAACGTTGCGCGTCGTCGCGGCCTCTCGCTCACGGCCGGGAAGGCAACAACAGTTTCCTGGGAGGCTGGGACCGTGGGTATCTCACACTTTTTTCATGGGTTCGTGACTTGGTGTACGCTGATACTGTAGATGCCTCGCCGTGCACAGGGGCGCCGGTCTTGCTCGTGACGGTGCATCGAACCCAACGGTATGCAATGCATTGCGGATTCTCGGTGACTGCTGTGGGTATGTACGAATGTATGGTCTATTTGGTTTTGTCCCGTGACAAAATGGAGAAAACTGAGAAATATTTTAGGCGCACATGCTCCAAAAATAGTTCATAGTTGATCTGGTCAGAAATAATTGGGTGTGTGTGGGTGGGTGGGGGGGGGGAGCTGTCCTAGCACAAGAACAGAAGAGTCACACACACTATTAGGGAAGCGAAATCTTTCCATCTCTTTCTATCAAGTTTTTGCTCCATTGTTCGTGAAAAAAAGAAAATCTTTGCGCCTTTGGCATCCCTTGTCTGCCAGAGTGGCAACGAAACAATGCTTCTTGATTTACGTGGTAATGTATCTATTATATGTTCACGTGTTTTCTCGATTTATGTTTGTTCCCTCTTTCAAGGACATCTAAAGCATGCAAAGAGGAAAAATATAGGGCTAGAGTTACATGTCACTTATAATTCTACAAGAATTTAAAATGCAGAAAAGTTTCTCATGAAACATCTGGATATAACGCAAAAACGCATGAATTAGAGAAATAGAGGGAGATACACACAGAGAAAAGTTTCCAATAGGTTAGACCATGTGCCAGATTTTCTACAAAATTTCTATTGATCGAACCTTTCCATAGGAATTTTGTAGGATTTGAAAATGTGAATTCTTTGTTTGAAAGGGCCGCATAGAAAAAAAAATCCTATAGGTTACAATCTTACAAAAATTTCCTCCATGAATCCTAGTACTATAGTATGGTCCAAAGGAGGTCCAGGACCATATTTCATGACAAAAATGTACATAGCTATAAGAGGTTTATATAGATCCAAAAGACAGTACGACAATTTTTTTGTGAAATTATACTAACATAATTGAAAATAGTATAGAAGTATTTTGAATTGCGAAATACATGGTAGTAGTAGGGCTAGTTTAGAGGGGCTCCAGATTCTCTCGTGGAGCAGTTTGTCTCGTGGAGCTGAAGCAGTTTCGAAAAATGCTTGAAAAACGGGTCTAGTTGTAGTTTTGTAAGCCCGTATTTGGGAAGGCTCTGCTCGCGTGTGCTACGGCGCCGGAGTCAGCGCCTCTCGACAGAGCCCCATCTTGTGGCTTCACCTCTATACGACGAAAATGGTTCTAGCCTCTCACATCGTCGACGAAAATGTCTCCTCCTGTGTACATTTGGTGCTGCTCCGCCAACTCCGGTGACGGAGGCAGAGGCGGAGCCGGAGCCCGTGTTGGAGCGCTAAATAAGGCCTAATACTCTGTGTCAAGTTCGTGAGGATGAATCGCAAGAAGACACATTTTTTTTGGCTCTAGCTTCGGTTACTGCTTCAACTGTAGCTTTGGCTCCTTCGGGCTTCTTACCGGAAGATTTTTTAAGCGCCGTTTGGTAGGCTCCGGCTCCTCATGTGGAGCAGTCCGAAAAACGTTTGGCAAAAACAGCTTCAACTACAGTTGTAAAAAAAGTGGAGACCGCAAACCGTTGGGTCTCGCGTCTCGTGACTCGCCGCCGCCGCCGTCCTCCGCCTCCACCACCGCTGGCCCCCCTCCCTCCTAAAGATGGCAACGGGGCCCCGATACCCGACGGGTATTTGATCCATTAGGGGACGGGAATGGGATCATATCTTTACCCGCGAGCATCTAAATGGGCAAGAATTCATCCCCGATGGGTATAGCGGGTACAGGAACGTTCCCTGTCTACCCGTCCCCGTTACCCGTTGGGGAACCCGACTATTTGAGCTGTCACGCGAGTATTAGGCCCAAAGAAGCTCAACATAGGTATTTTGGTCCAAATCGGAACAATCATATATATAGTTTGTGTGTTCTAGAAACTCTAGTTTAATTTTTCCTCACCATCTCCGCCAGCAGCACAAGCATGCCTGCCTCACGAGCGCTCGTGCCCCTCGCTTCCACAGTTCGGTCTCTCTGCCACCTTTGCTCATCCTCCTCGCAACCTCGCTCCTTCTCCTCGGTATTTCCGAGACTCCGACACTTATACCCGGGTGAAGAAGAAACGTCTCCGATTGCAAAGCTGCGACCCCAAGTGTCCTTGTTTATCGGGTATGCAGTACTCATCGGGTATCTGTTACCCGACCGATGCCCAACGGGTACGAGGATGGGCAAGAATCTATACTCGAGACAGTTAATGGGGACGGGGACGGGATGAATTCTCCGTAGCGGGGAAGAGAGCGTTCCGGCGATACCCGACGGGTACATCCCCGTTGCCATCTTTAGTCCCTCCCCTCCGGCATATCGCTGGAGGTTGGAGGGAGTGGGGATCCATCGTTTTTAGTAAGTTTTTTTAATAAATCGAGTCTTTAGGGGTAAGGTCTCTTCATACCAAGTTTCTTAGTTTTTGGTATTTATCTCCTTCTCCTCCTCTCCGGCGACGGCGAGAGGACAGGGTGGAATCGTTTTCTCCATGGCGGCTCTGTTGAAGATGGGGCGACAACTATGACGTCAGCATCCTCACCAGTATGACATGGAGATTTTTATTTCCGGACGACGATTTCAAGGCGGAGATGGTGTCACCGCCATAGAATAATTTTCTCCGGTCTCTTCTCCGTTTTATCGTGGTTAGATCTAGCCACGATGAAGGACCAGGAAGAATAAGTTTTAGATTGAGAATAAGTTTCAAATTAGTCTTCCTTATTCTTCGGTGACAGAAAGAAAAAGAAGACACCAGAAAGAAGAAGTTTCTCAACTCTGCCCATATGAATGTTGGTCGTCGCTCGTTGTGCTGTTCTTATGCCTTTTGCCGATTGTTTGCCTGCGCGGTCATCTATACTACAAAGCGTCATATAGGTTTGGTTTTGAGATCTGGAGCTATTCATAGCGTGGGTATAATTTAGATAAAATTAGTTTCTGAATATTTGTGTAATCTAGAGTGCTTCTAATGTGTTGATTTACCCACTTATTATCTAATATAATTCTTGTTTCGTCGAAAAAAATATAGTTTTGTAAAAAAAAGTATATTAGATTTATGAGAAAGAGACGTATTTGTGTGGCTCCTGCTCGTCTTAAAAAAACAGTTCCGACTTAAAAAAACTGTTAGCAAGACTTTTTGCAAGCAGCCGTCAAAAGCGGAGCCGAACCCTGCCAGAGCTACTACTTGTACCGTTCCGGTCCCTTCTTTCGACTTAAGGTTTGTTTAAATACGGGTAAAGTTTGGGATGTTACAATGGAGGTTATATATGGGTATCATACGAGGTGTTTGATATTAATAAAAAAATTAATTATAGAATCCGTCAATAATCCACGAGATAAATTTATTAAGTCTAATTAATCAGTCATTAGCAAATGTGTTACTGTAGCACTATATCATTAAATTATAGACTAATTAGGTTTGAAAGATTCGTCTCACAAATTAGTTATAAATTATATATTTAATTATTTTTTAATTCTATATTTAATATTCTATATACGTGTCTAAATATTTAATAAGACAGAAGTAAACTTTTGGAGCAACTCCGTGGTCGACTTCTCGGCGCAATACGTTTCCCAACACATAGCGCCGTACGCACGGCACAGGCACGGGCCTCCACCACCGCTAAACCCTTCCGAAAGAATCCCCAAATCTCGCACACCCCGAAGCCTTCGAGGCCCGAAACCCTAGCTCCTCGGCCTCCCCGCCGCTTCCACCCATGGCTCCAGGACTGCAGCTCTTCAGTGACATTGCCGACGACGGCACGCCCCGGCTCGACGCCGCCTCCGGCGAGGAGCTGGTCCGCATGGACCGCGCCGTCGCTGTCGCCCTTGGCCCCCGTTCGCCGGAGTCCCCGGGGACTCTGTTCGTCACCACCAGGTATGAGCTCTCAGATTATGGCTGCAACACTTCTTCGGATGCCTATCGTTTCATTAACTGTTGGCTGGTTCAACCAGGAGGGTGATTTGGCTTAGCGAGGCGGAGAAGGGCAAGGGCTACGCGGTGGACTTCCTCGACATCACGCTTCACGCCGTGTCGCGCTACCTGGAGGCGTATCCCTCGCCCTGCATCTACACGCAGGTGATTGGAGCAGCAAGCACTACGTTTGCTGATACTTGCTCGTTGTAGATACTGCCCTTTGAGGTCCAATAGGATCAGGATCAGAGATTGATCAGACGTAGCTCTGCTGTTCTAACAGTTGAGCTATATGTTCCTAAAGTGTGGGCCTACCTCATTGAACTGACTTGGACCGTGGTCTAGGATCTACAGTGTTCTTAGCTGTAAGCTTGTACTAGTTGGTAGTGGCCTAATGGGTTAGGCCGTGCATTTCAGCTTGAGATGGCTCTTACTGGGAGACCCCTTTGCTTACGGAATTACAGAAAACGCTCTTCTGCTGTTTGCTGGATGTTTTGATAATACCTCAGCTTTTGGAGAACAAGGAGCTCTGATTCACAGATCATAGAACTATCATGGATTACTCGGTGTAGGATCTTTGTCACACGGCGCTTAGTTGTAATTTTGTTTCCTGGCTGTTGCAGTTGAGTTGTAGTCAAAGTTGCAGCTGGTACGTTTGTGGATTTGGTGTTTATAGCTTTGCACTGTTTGGTGTTCTGATTGGTACTCTGGGGACATTTGTGCTCAGATGTTCTCTTGTGGATATACTCAAGGTCCATCAGATAGGTTCTTATAGACTGTTTGCCTGTTTGGAACTCGTGCATTTTCACTGATGAACAAAAGCTCTCTATTTGCATGAGAGGAGGTGGCTGTTAACTTTTTGTCTCATTTTTTTATTGCTGGGAGTACCTGTCCTATTTCGTATGAGGTTTCCCCATTGCTTCTTCATTGATATGTGACCAGTGACGTTGCTAGAGTTTATGACAAAGCTAACCCTCATTTGCATACAGATGTATGGTACTCCTGCTGTGTTGGTTTTTTTCGCGAACGTGCATTTTGCACCCTGCTGCGTTGGTTAAAAGTTTGCGAATAAGAACCCTGTTTACTTTATTTAATAGCTGCATAACCTGATTATGAGAAGTCTAGATCTGTTTTTGGTGTTTAATAGGTGCACTGTAGGCCATTATTTGTCTGTTTATTTCTGTTGTTTGGTTTTTAATATTCTCTGGTGTAAATGTCTGACTTTTTGTACGTTTAATTTGAAGATTGAGGCAGCAGTTGGTACAGATGAGGAGGCTGGTGAATCAAATCCTGAAGCAAATGGACTAGAGCTATCTAGAGTATCTGAAATGCGGCTCATACTAGCGGACCCTGGTCAATGTATCCTTTTGAATTAACTTGTCTAATTAAAATATTTCCTTAGATGCTGGAGTTCAAGTGCTTGCTGATTTAGTCTCCAGGACTTGTGATCTAGTGAACTGATTCAAGGCACTACTATTTATGTTATGCAAATAATTCTCACAGATAAGCCCTGTGAATTTAATTGTAAAACTGATATCAGCGAACTACTAGATTTTCTTGTTTCTTGAGTTCTTGGAAAAAAAATCCTCGGTCCCTTCGTTATCCTAGGGGTATACTTTACCAATTTGAAACTGGTCATAAATAAGATTATTACTGTCTACCTTTACTTTATTTGATTATTTGAATTGTACAAACTTTTTTATATAGTTCGTGGCATTGCATGACTTGTATCCTTGACAGAGCTTCAGTGGATGCACTTTTCGATGTCTTCTGTCATTGTGCTGAACTGAATCCTGGCCCTAATGCTGGTAATCCATGAATTTACGGTTGATACTTAAAAAGGTTCTGTCGCAGATCTATGTAATCTTTTGAATTCACAGAGCGCGATGAGGAGAATGGTTGGTTCCATGGTGAAGATATGTCTGATGGTGGCTGGGTTCATGATGATGAGGACATGGTTGATGGTAAGTATTGTGTTTCTCTTGTTCTACATGTTTGCTCTAATGTGATAGCAGCACTTAGATGTCTTACCTTGCATGCAGAAAATGGCCCCCAGTTTTTCAGTGCTAATCCGATAGGTCAAAATGGTGGACATGACCTCATTCGTTCAGTAATTGAGGTATCCAATGAATTTCTTTATATCTTATAAGTTTTATTTTCATTACTATTGTATAAGCATATGATGGAACAAATGCCCATCTGAGATAAGCCTTATTTAGCCTCTCTGTTGATTATTGGCGTCTTCTATTAAAGCCGAACGCTGAAAACAATAATGTAACACAAATATGTGTGTTTGTCTGAATTATACGGCTCTTAGAATTTGTTCCCATGGATTTATTGTTATATTAATTTTGAATTAAACTTGATTCTGGGCTACTTTTTGCTGTGGTGAATCAATTATTGTTTGAAAAAATGGAATACACGATCTGTCCCGAGGTATTTATTTCTAATTATGATAAAAAAATAAGACTCTCCGTTAACATTACTGGCATTTTGGCTTGCAGCTTCAAATCAACGACCAGCGTTTTGAGGATGCAGAGGAGGAACAGGAGAGCCATGAAAATGGACATTAGAAACAGGAACATGTTCCTCGAGAGCATCGTGTGATTTATTTTGTTGTAAATCACTACCGATGCAGCTTGGTTTGCCTACTGTTTCGTCTACACTTTCTCTTCCTTTCCCCTTCCTCGATGTTATAGGATCTCTGGGTGACTTCTGGAGTTGCATCGATGGTTTCTTTTGGTGAGAAAAGGTCTTGCTTCTGGTCAAGAATGTAACTTGTAGAGCATGATGCTGAATCGTGTGGAATTAGTTCGGTACTTTTGATCTAACAAATAGAAGGTCGAATTGGGAAAGGAAATATATTATCGTTTCCCTTGTATATCATGGCACAGTTATTTACGTCTGTTTAGAATGAAGTTCAGTTTGGGTGTTGCATGGGCCCCGTATTCGGTCACAATTTCATATACATATTTGTTTACCCAGCATGTATTGATTAACGATGTTTGCTACACGGAATTCGGGAACGTATAATTAGCGCTTATGGGCTACCTTGTTGAAAAATTAAAAGTCATGTCCCTGCCACTTGCCTTGCTACCCATCGTCCCATCCCAGGAATTAAGATGGTGGGAGTTGGGCCTCAATATCCCAATCTCGTTTTCCACCTAAACTCAGACAAGCGAAACACGTTAGAAATAGTCTCCATTTTTGTAGAGCATCTAAATTCCGTGGAAGCCTTGCGAAGATCCCCTTTTCCCCGGGCGCAAGAGAACCATGACGACAAACAGTACAACCCAAGCATGAACACGTCTAATATTTGAAAATAGCATCAGTTTCTGAAATCACGCACAGTTTCTGGAAATAGGCGCTATACATATGGCAACAGATTGGTTCTGGATGTTGTCAACCCATAACAGGTCCATCGAATAAAGTATATGGAAACAACAGTTAACATGTTAGAAAAGAAGGTGCTTCTACCCCTGCAATGATGTCACAACAGCACGTACTGGGGTCTTGTTCTATAAATCTCTAATTCAAGTCTTGCCAAATCTTCAGGACTTCACCACCGTGGCAAGGTCACAGGCCATCTGTTTATATGGACACAACGTAATGTCATCCATAAATGTACACAAGAAATATTTAACTAGAGAATGCCGTGCCATGCATTAGAATACCTGTTACAAAACTTGCTGGGATCCCCAGGAAGAGTCCAGTCTAGGCAACGAGATGGATTAACATCATAGCCACCTTCAGCAATAGTCCTGAATGTAAAAACACACCAAGGAATGTAATACCTAATTAAAAATTATGCATGCCTCACTGAATCTGCTTCAATAATAAACATTTTAAAATTCTCGCACAAGTTTTACATGTCCAAGTCCTTGGAATGTAAATACACTACATGACAAGCAATTGAATATATACCTAAAAGGAAATTTAGACATACCTTTGTCCCTTAAAATATTCCAAGACATCATGAATCTCGTCCCATGGTAAGTATGGGGTTCCAACTAAGTACCTGTCACAGAAGTTCATGCCAATAATTTTGCCATCAAAATCAAGAAGGGGCCCTCCAATGCCAGCCTAACCAGGTGAAGTTGTCATTGGTAATGTCAAACAGATATGGTACTTAACTCATTCAGATGCAACTATTTACTTCAACTGTATGATAGCACATAAGAAAAAATAACAGCTGTACCTTACTGATGTTACATGTGCAACATCGAAGAAATTCGCAATCATCTGAGACCGGCATAGGAGACAGTTCCCCTCTTTTAGCCATCAATCTACCATATTTGAAGATACATCCCACAGCTAGTAATTCAAAAGAGCCAGACCCCCGATATTGAACCTTTACCGGTTGGTAGGACAAAAATCCTTGACACTGATTAGAGCAATATTGTAATGCAAATTATAATGTTGTTATGTCCCATCTGCATGCTGTTCGTTTGGAAGTAACACTTGAATCTGCCATGAAAAACAGTTGAGACTTAAGCAATGAGCTAAAAGAACATGGACAACAGATTAACTAGAATTACCAACCCTCAAGTTTTCAACGATCTTGTATTCACAAGAAGAATCTCTAATCAAGCTCGCTGAAGTCAGGATAGTGGTACGTCCATTCCATTCAATAAAGAGTCCTGTGCATGTAAAAAACCTTTTTTCTCCCGCGGACCACAATTTATATCATAAGTTTGTTGATCATATAGAAACATAAAACAGCAAACAACACAGCATTGAATGAAGCAAGTGCGACGATATTATCATGTATGTTAGAGGCAACTGGTTTACTTATTTCACTCCAGACACCTGTACCATATATGTCACCGAAAGGCTCCTCGAAAGTATTAACCAAAATAATATCATCTAGTTAATGATGATAAAAAGCACAATAGTCATAAGTGGTGCAGTACATCCGTAAAAAAAACACACAATGCATAAAAAGTCAAGATATTTGCTGGCACTGACTCACCATTTAACATTGATTCTGGTGGCTTAGGATAGCCCAAAGATTCTAGATCCTGAGACTGATCCTTGTTAACCACTGCAACAACAGCAAGAGGTCATGTGATTAGCACTAACACATGCTAATATTGGGTAGGATAAGTAACATTCACACAAAATTCTCAATATAACATTATATTAGTATACATAATTATATATTATGACGACTTGAGTAACAAAACACACTATAAGTGATTGTTCTTAAAACACCCATGAACAGATTAAGTGATTATCACTAACTCTATGAAAATACAACTGTATAAAGCTAAGCTTGTCAATAACTATTATGAGAGTACAAATGTGCTATAAATTTGCACCATTTATGACGACTTTACAAATAGATATTATTGTAGATGAAGATGAACTACGTAATACGAAAATGTTAGAGGCTTAAAGTGATGCTGTGTGCTCACCTTCTTTACAAGAGTAAGACATCTCAGCAAAGGAACCTTTCCCAACCCTGCGGAAAAACATCAACATGAGTACCAAAAGGAAACATGGAACAAACCATAATATGCAAAATATACATGAATATAATTGTAGGAACAGGAAAACATAGAGAAAAGAGGACCTGGCCTGGTATGCTTAAATATATGAAGGAAACAAGTTAGTATTGAGAAAACATTACAGAAAACCTCAAGTCAGGAGGCACCACAACCCATGCAGTGTGACTGTGTGACCATTATATCTAGACAGAAAACTCTTTTCTTTAATTAAAGTTGACAGATAAATGGATTCAACATTGACACAAGAAATATGTTAACCTAGTACATGGCATAATGGCATGTGCCAATTGGACAGAAAATATCTCAGTATTATTAAGGGTAACACTCTGAAAACTATAGAGGACTACAAATGTCAAAAGCTACAGAAGGAACAACACCGGAATCCAAATTATTGTGAAACCAACAAAACCCCGCAATTGTATGGCATAAAAAATGGCTTATCTCATTATAAATAGCGTATGCAAGAGTAGGTGTCCAATTGAAAATGAAAGGATCAAGATGCCCAAGAGAGGGGTGAATTGGGCTAATTCTAAATTTTCTTGCAATAATTAAATCCTATTGATAGCCTAATTAACCCCTTGTGCCTAGAAAGTGTTTGTAATGTTCTATCGCACAAATAGACTTGCAACCTAAGTTTCAATCCTACTCTAACATGGCAATTCTAGGAATGTAAATGACAAGAATTGAATTGCTCAAAGTAATGCTTAAAGTAAATGCGCAAAGTAAAGAGAAGAGAGGAAACACGGCGATGTTTTGCCGAGGTATCGGAGAGTCGCCACTCCCCACTAGTCCTCGTTGGAGCACTCGTGCAAGGGTGTAGCTCCCCCTTGATCCGCGCAAGGATCAAGTGCTCTCTACGGGTTGATTCTTCGACACTCCATCGCGGTGAATCACCCACAACCGCTCACAATCTTGAGTCGGGTCACCCACAAGCTCTCCGGATGATCACCGAACTCTCAATCACCACCAAGCCGTCTAGGTGATGGTGATCACCAAGAGTAACAAGCACGAACTCTCACTTGACCACGCGAAGCCTAAGGAGAAGATGGATGCACACTTTGCTACTCTTAATTCACTAATGAGGTTTCACTCTTGGATTCTCAAATTACAAACACCTCACTAGGACCTTGCTCTTCTTGGCACTCACAAATGTGTTTCTCAGCTGTTGGAATGAGCAAAAGTCACTCCACACACGAGTGGAGCTTCTATTTATAAGACAGCCTGAAAAACGAACCGTTATGTGCCTCTGCGGGGTGACCGGACGCTCCGGTCATTTTGACCGGACGCTCCGGTCAGTTCAACCCACACACTAGTGTTTAAGTGACGACCGGACGCTGGCAGGGTCCGGTCACCACTGACTGGACGCGTCCGGTCGCAAATATCCCTCACTGAAACCTTACTGGAGTCGACCGGATGCTGGCCCTCAGCGTCCGATCACTTGACCTCTCCAGCGTCCGGTCAAACCGGACTAGTTCACCTCTGTCAAATGAACTGACCGGACCCTGCGGCCAGCGTCCGGTCGCACCGGAGCCAGCGTCCGGTCAGTCTTTGACCCTCCATTCACTTCCAACTCTCAATCATATGTGAATGAAGTTTGCTCCAAAGGATCTTAGGCATATTTAGGAGCTTCCTAGTGCTAGTTTTAACAAGTGTGCACCACACCTAACTCACTAGACTCACCTAAGTCAAGCTACCCGTCCATACCCCCCTTAATAGTATGACCAAAGGAAAAACAAAGTCCTAAACTACTCTAAGTGTCTCTCCAACTCCAATCGACACTTAGAACTAGTCATCCTTAACCTTGTCGTCCATCCTTTGAAAACCGAAACGATTTCCATCGTAGGGGCATGACATCCACGATTGTCCAATCGATCTCCATTACCGTGACCTAACTTAATTGCCTCTGCAAAACACACGTTAGCCACAGTAATCTTATATTGTCATTAATCACCGAAACCCAATTAGGGGCCTAGATGCTTTCAATCTTCCCCTTTTTGGTGATTGATGACAATACAACCTCGAGTATGTGAAAGAGTTGAGGTTTTTAACATGCTTGGATCATA